GACTGGGCCCAGAAAAGGATGTCTGAATATTACAAAGATAAGTAAAATTTTATGTTACTTTACAAACTTAAGTTAATCTTTCATTCTTACTGCAAGTGGCAGATTTCAAGAAGTTTTACCTCATGCGAGGTCTACCTTTATCGCCAAAAGGGCGAGAAATGAGTTGTGACCGATTTTCTTATTATGTTTTTCAATTACTCGCGCGTAAAACTAAAGTTGATGTATAATAGCGAATTGTATAAAGACTTAAATATTGTAAAAAGTTATTGTATAAATTTTATTTAAAACATTCTAACAAGAAAGAAGTTTTAGTCTGAAAGACTTTTTGAAATGTAGTATTATTTCAATGTAGAAAGAATTGGCACTTGCTTTGAAAAGAATAGAAGTTAACAATGTACTACTAATGTATGTTTTCAAATGTGTAAAATTAACGGCATGTTGAATATGTTCTTGTATACAATGTGAACTGTTATTTTAAATGTTAAGAAATACCGTGATATGGTAAAAGTGAAAGTAATGTTAAAAATTTGTTATTCGTGTGACTGTAAAAAGATTAAATCATGGTGAATATGTGTTAAAGGTTGAATGAATGTAGTTAGGCTCTCTGACGCTACACTTCAGAGTTAGCCACTTTCAGAATAGTACCTCAGGGTTAGAGTTGAAATTAGGGTGTGTTAAGAGGTCTTGTATGTTGAATTTTAACACGTTAGTGTTTTGATTGTAGGAGGAAGTGTTGAACACGTAGACAGAAACACATTCGTGTTTGGTGTTTTTTACAACACATGTCAGAGAGCACGGGGAGAGATAATTAAAATAGTCATGAATGAAATAAGAATGTTAAGAAAAGTATATTCTATATGTTATTTGCAATGTTCATTCTGTAACATTTCATTAAACTAGTTTTCCTTCCAGATCTCTGGAAGGAACCAGAATTTGAATAAAGCTCCTGTTTAGATGCAGTACAGATGAAAAAAGAAAAGATTGTTGTATATTCCGGGAGCTGCTATTGTAACAAATTCTTTCTTTTAAAATTTTCTAGTTTCTAGCTAAGTTATGTTTGTGTAAAAGATTGGCCTCGCGTTAGATTCTAGAGCTAAAAGTTTTCAACAAGGTCGTTTTAGACCTCAGTTTCAAACTAATTAACTCTGGCGGGAAGTATGTAAGGATCTTAAGTTTTACTAACGTTTATTTTATTTTAAATCTTTACTATCACTTCTTATTTTCTACTTCCGGCCAGAATTATAAGCGTGAAGGAGTTTTATGCAAAGTTGTCTGGCGAACGCCAAGTATTTAAGTGTGGCTTTTGCCAAGCAGAGAGAGAGGAAGCCGTGAGTTCGAAGCAGGCCGCTTACCTTAGAAGTTACGCAGTTGCTACTTTGCCTTCCAGGCCAGAGGTTTTAATCCTCTTGATAAATTTTAAAACGTATTGTAGTGTTCACAGTTCTCTGTGCTACATACGCTTCCTGTTAATATAAGGCCAATCTTATTCTAAAGTTAAATTAGAGTTTAGTTTTATTTTGATATACTTTTAAGTTAGACCCCGAGTGGAGGGTCATTGTATTCCGAAGTACGGAAGTTATTGTAAATATAGAAGAAAAAAAAAAGGGTTTTGTATACCCTTCGTCTGTATCCTGTCTACTTACTACAATTAGTGAACATAGCTTTAGTAAGCTCTCTGTTCTAGTCAGGTCATGTATGTTCCGAAGAAGGTAGAAGAACATTGAACCTGATATGTTTACATATGTCAGTTTCATTAATTTTTATTTAGTATAAATTATATTTTGTAGGACTAATGCATTTAAACCGGCAAGCGTGTTTCTTCATATTTAATATTATAACATTCGACTTTTCTCTGTTCATCATATTGTAATAATTGGTGTCACAAAGAATATACCACGGGAATTTCTTCTTTCTTGACAATAGAAACAAAAACTTAAGATGCGGTAAGCATCGTATAATGCAAATAATGAGGACTTTATATGTGCAGCGGATAAGATTTCGAAAATCAGTTCAAGAAGTACTTCTAATGACTGTACACAGAAAAAATGTGTAAACTATATGGCAGAATAACGGATAATTCATAAATCTACCACATTTTACTTAGAAGGAAATGCCTTGATCATTTACAGTGCTTCATTTTCAAATAATGCATAGTTAATTCAATGAGTAAGGTAACAAAACTTCGTAAATTTGCAAAATTTTAACATATATTTCTAAACAAGGGAAAGGTTATAGTGTATATTATTTTTTCATAAAATATCCATGATTGTAAAAAATATTTGTTCTACTAATATACCAAGATATCTCTGCTATCATGCAGGTACAGGTGACAGAGGAAAGGGACACTTACTAACTGAGGTAAATAGATATACGTCCTCCTCTGACTAGATGCAACAACTCCCTGGAGCCCCATGGGAGCACATTTCGAGAGTTTAGGCAGGTGGACATCAGGCATGTTGTTGGTCGAGTATGGCCTAGAGTTGCTATGTAGCAATATGAGACTTGTTCATAGCAACCAGGTCGTTCTTCGGCGAACTGCCTTCTGCGACCACCTCGGTCTGTTACAATAACGAGCAAAAATCGTCTGTGCCTTTAAAGTGGAAATTAGCGAGAAATACTCTATTGTGGCTCCAAAAGATCACCATCATGCCCTTCTTTATTGAGAAATCATTTTGAACTTCTTGGAAGATGGAGGAGATAAGTGTTTTCATTTCAAGAATGATTGCTTCACTGCTAATGTCATGTCATTCGCTCATATTTCATCTCCTATAGTAAAGCGGTGCATCAGTTGTTCTCCTTTTCTCACGATACATGATCAAGTCCATGAAACACAATAGTGTCCCAGTGCCTTTATGATCATATATGATTTGCTTGATATCTAGTGTGAACATGTTTTTTTTACTCCTGTTCGTAAACTATATCGTATCGCTCGCAGTTTCCATTGAGATGTTCAGTTCATTAGAAATATCACAAAGTCTAATGTGTCGTCTAATCTTTGGATTCTCCTGAATCGAACAGATACAGACTGTGCGACACAGACTGTTCATTAGAAATATCACTAAGTTCAATGTGTCGATTCTCTTGAATCGAACAATTACTGTGGCACACTCTGTAGTGGACGACGCTAGCTTTCTAGATCTCTTAAACATCAGTCCTATTATTGTCAAAGATAATGCATCGAAAAGGAACTTGTTTTAGTGATCACTGTTACTTTGTGACATAACGTAGTTACTTAATTTTTCATGGAAGCTAGAAAAAGTAACGTAAGTAGAGGAGGCAGAGAGGGGTGGGCTCCTGGCGGCATTTTTGACGTGAATATTATTTATATGGGTTATTCATATGTATCGTCGAAACAGTTGAAAATATTGAGATTCTGAGGTGCCATATGGTATTCATTTGAGAAGAAAAAAATTACTTTAGAAGAATAGTATTCAAATAAATTCTAGTATTCAAATAAATCACTTCGGGATTCCGACAGCTACATAACTTGTTCTACCTCCTCTACTATATCGAAATTTTTTCAAAGAAATCACTTTGGGATTCCAACAGCTACATAATCTTGCTCTACCTACTCTACTATATATCAAAATTTTTTCAAAGAAATCACTTCGGGATTCCAACAGCTACATAATCTTGTTCTATCTCCTATATTATATCGAAATTTTTGAATTAAAAGTACGAATATAAACTAAATTACAATCACAATGATATTTATAAAGAATAATTCTTTTCTCCTTTCTTTCTAAAGAGAGAAATATTGCAGAATTTTATTTCTATTATTGCTAAGAAAAACGGAATAGGGAATTGGAAGGTCTATCTTTTTTAACTTTTCGTAGTTTATTATGAAACCTCTAGAATATTATGAATAGTGTCCCAGTGCCTTTATGATCATCTATGATTTGCTTGATATCTAGTGTGAATATGTTTTTTTTACTCCTGCTCGTAAATTATATCGCTCGCAGTTTCCATTAAGACGTTCAGTTCATTAGAAATATCACAAAGTCAAACAGAACAAAGTTTAAAATATTGTAAAACTACTGTGAACTTTCCTGACACTTACATAAGTGTTACTAATTGTGAGAGGAGTTTTCTAAATAAAAATAATTTAAGAGGTATATAAGGTTGTATATTTGCTTTAAGGTATATATAAAGTTTTATGTTCCACAAATGTATATTTTGCTTAAAGACATCTTTCTTTACTTTTTGCATAACAAAAAGTGGAGCAATGAAGTAGATGGCTACAATGTCATCCATGATTTTGCGAACAAAAAAGCAAACAAACAATTAACATCAACTTAAAATGTTGGAATTAAAAACAAAGTTAATAGTAAAAACTCTTTTTCTTAAGTGAAAAACACAAAGGGTAAAATTAATTCCATTTTTACAAGTAGCACATTTTTGATTATAGGGCATAAAGTTATTAATTTATTTCAGTGAAAAATAAAAAAAACCTCTTTTGTGTTATTAATTTTTTATCATTAATCTTTTTTGTAAAATTTTCATACAATGAAAAGTAACTAAAACATCATTTTTAATATATATACATACGATATATATAAACTTATGCTCATTCAGAACATCTGCTCATGGCTTTGGCACTCCGTATCTGTCATTCATCCTTTATTCGACTGGATGGCCAACCTGATTACAGTCCTCATTGCTGCCAGAGGTGGCAGTTATGTGTACTGAATTCTGAAAGCTGTGTACGCCAAACCACCTGAAAATTAAAAAATGTCTCCATCCCATTATACTGTTTATATACAATAAATAAGGTTCTACTGTTCGCTTTGCTTCCTAGTGTTTAGGAGTTTTAATGGCCAGCAGTATTTAATCTCTTATACTGTAAGATTATTTTTTTTGCTACTTTAATGTTCAACGCTAGAGTTTACAAGTTGACAACCTTCTTAGGCTATTGAAATTTATTTTCTTTAAAGTGCTCTTCAGGTAAAAAGTACCCTTCACTATACCTAATAAGAAAAATTTCCGTTCTTTTTAAATAGGGTCCACCAGGCCCTCAAGGAATAGAAGGAAATGAAGGCCCTCAGGTATAATTCATTCATTCAATTTATGCATATTTTGCCATTTAACTAAGATTAGTAATAACTATATTTGCATTTTAGGGCCCTAAAGGCCAGAAAGGAGATGTTGGTCCCGTAGGTCCGGATGGGCACTCAGTAAGTATATTATTTGCAGTAACTGCTCAAGATAAATATTTGTTTTTCTAAAAATTTTTTTAAATAAAAATTACGTATTTATGACACAGTGCTAAGCTGTTGTTCGTGCATAATAATGAGACATTAGTAAATACACACACACATAAAGAGAGAGAGAGACACACACACACACATATAAAATTAGATGATCAGAGGGTTAAAACTCTAACAGGAAATACACATATTAAAATTTAAAAAATTAAATAAAAATTAAAATATATAAAATTGTTGAAAATTCCTTAGTCTTTTTTCAAGAAGCAGCCGAAATTTTTTCAAAAAGTCACGTTTCTGAATTATATTTGGATGACTGAAATCTTGAAACGTTTCAAAATGAACATTAAAAGAAAGTGTCAATTCAGAATTTTTTTAACTAGAATTGAAATAAAAAAAATTAAATAATCAAAGTGCTCTAAAAGTATAAGTAATTTTTAAAAAAATTTAAATTTAGATAATTGTCAAAATACAATCTGTACCGACATCACCCTAAAATAAATAATTGAAAATTAAACATTATTAGAAGAATTTTTAGTGAGAAACCGAAAACCATTAGGTAAATAAAATCAGTGTGCTAAGTAAATTATGAACAAAAAAATAAGCAGAATAGTTAGAAAACTTCGCAAGCCAAAAGTAACATGGTAAGTCAAAAATCAAATACTTCAAATGAAAAACTTTAAGAAATAAATTTATTAAAAAGAAATTAATTAAAAGTAAAAATTTTTTAACAAAAATGCAGGAAAATTTGTCGATTGTAGGGAGGGGGGGGGAAATTTAAAATTGAAAGGTTTACAGTCTAAAATGGAAAAAGAAATAAAATATAAAAACGGAATGGAAAATTTTGAAATAAAGTTGAATCAATTAATTCAAATAAACTAAATTGAAATGAAAATTAAAAAGAAATTAAAACCTGAATGAAGGGCCACTTCCAAACCGTGATTTTTATAACTGCTGAGGATACGGTTTACGAAAAGTCGACTTGAGTTGTATGTGTTAGCTAGATGAAAATGAAATAATAAATAACCAGAATTGAGCTGAAGTGTAAAATTGAATAGGATTAAATTTTGTTTTATTAATTTAAACCTCAAAAAAATTAGTCAAACAAATTTAAATTTTTAAATTAAATTTTTTATTTTTTAATTATTTAAGTTATTAAAAGCAAATTGTCTGGGAGAAAGTTAATATTTTTAATAATTTATTGCATGTAAAAAGGAGTAATATATCGGTAATGAGGGTAGAAAAAGCTGTGAAAAGAAAAAAGGTAAATTGACATTAAAAAGGTTTCATCTATTTGGCGTATAATAGGGCTGGAATAGAAATGGGCTGCTTGTTAGTAATTGAGACAGAGAGACTATTTACAAACTTACAAGCATATTTATAATTGTTACGCAGTAAATGCCTCCAAACTTTTTTTAAGTAAATCCTATCCTATATACCTATATAATTATCCTGTATTATAAGTAACAATAAATTTAAATTAAAAACGACCTAATGTGTAACTTATGGAGAAGTAAGGTAGTAAATTTCAGTGGAATATGATTATTAACAAGTGTAATGTTTAGATATTGAATTTCTTGATTAATGGATTCAACTGTAGTGAAAATAATTTCAATTCTTACAACGTGGTTAATAATGGATTACGTTTTTAAAAAATACTGGAATTCCAATGTAAGAGTTTAATGGCAGGAAAGTTAAAAAGTCTTTTTTTATCAAAACGTTTAATTTCCTTATACATGGGAATTTCAAGGCCATGTAATCACTTTTGTTATCAGTGGAATTGGATTTATTAAATTTTAAGCATTTTGACTTTGAATTTTGCCATTTTTTAAACATTTATTAATTTTATTGTATTGTTTGGTTTTGAACTGCTTTTGTTTAAATGTTGATATGCGTATTTCCTTGTTAGAAAATTAGATCACTTTCATAATCTAATTTTGCTTTAAATATTATCTCTTATTATTATTTAGTTTATTTCTCAGCATACTGAATGACTTTGAAAACATACTTTCTTAATTTGAAATTTCTCAACTTTTATGTTTACATATAAATTTTTCTAAATATTCAAAGTATTTCATTATACATACACACACACACATATATATGTGATGTATCAGCTTTAGTCGTAGCTTAAATAATCAGATGATAAGTTTAAAAAACAGGATCCATTTATTATTGGTCAGGGGAAATAGCAGTTACAAATATCATATATCCGGAGTAAATAAAAAGAATTACTAATAACTTTTTGTATGAAGTTTACTGCAACGTGACATTTAAGAAAAAGCTCCCGATATTCCTTTTGCGTGTCCTTTTATAGCCTCTGGAAAGGCGGAGCTTCCAAGAAATGACGTCAGCCTCGTGAGCCAATCCAGTTCGCTTTAAATATTTCCAGAACATTCTATAACTGTACGTGTAGAAAAGGCGGCAAAAACAACTTGACTACGGGGCTGTGGATTTAATTCCACGTGCTTTCAAATAAGAGAACGTAGCCATTAAAAATGAAAAGAACATACAGTTAGAATTTTAAGTGTATTCTTGACTATGGAATTTTAATACCTCAAAAAAAATGTATATATGTATATATATGTGTTTATATGTATATATGTGTTTATATGTATATATGTGTTTATGTATAGTATATATGTGTTATATGTATCATATATATATATATATATATATATATAACATTAAGACACATGAAAGAAACAGAAAATTTTTTATGTTTGTGAATTTTCCATTTGAAGAGAAATACAAGTATACAATTAGTTCTCTTTAATTCAAGCAAAGTGAGGTTGTTGGGTAATATGTACATTTAATCTGCACAAGGAAGAGAAACGTGGATCCTATATTTCCCATTTTATCCGTTTCCAAATCCTAAATATGAACGTTCAGAATTATAAGTTTCAATTTCAAGACTTGAAATTAAAATGGCCCTAATTTTTTTACTAGAATGAGCTCGTATCGAATTATTATTATTAACGGGTTATTCATGACGTCAGCCTATATAGAAAACGACATCTGTTTCCTAATACGATGAGTTTATCTATATATTTCTCACATGAATACACAAATCCAATATTTTAAGTTAACTGAGCAGACACCCAAAGAAGCCACTAATTAAAAATGAGTAATTAAAATTTTAATGAAATAAAATAGAACATGGTGAATGATAAAATTAGATGAAACTCTCTGATTAAGGAGAAAATTAGTAGGTCTAAAACTAAAACTAAATGTTAATTTTGTGTACGTTTATACATATGTAATTTTAAAATTTTAATAAGTGTAATAATTGCATGCTATTAAGAGTTAATTATTTATAATAAACAGCAATAGCAATAGAAAAGCTTTACAATAACCCTGAGTATGGCCTTACTATGTTAAAAAATGGCCGAAAGTCATAATTTTGAGATGAATTTACAATTTGTTCTGCCCTGAAACTCTTGCAGATTTGCCCATCTTTATCTGCCTCGTCTTATTTTTCTGTATATATTACCTTTCATCTTTAACTTCGTATATAACATTTTTTTCAGGTTTCCAATGACATTAAGACACTGTTTCAATGTCCTTCATCAACACTTTTTTCTTCTGTTTCTGCCATTGAATACCTTTTCATTTTACTGGCTTTCATATATTTGACACGACCTAGTTTTTACCCAGTTCATCTTTTAATCTCATGTACCGATGTTCTTGAAATCTTGATGGGTTTCAAAAATACTAACATTCTGTAAATCACCAGTGTAATTCTGTAAATTACTCTAAAATTAGATTAAATTAAATTAAAATAAAATGTTAGAATAATTTTGTAAATTAGTCTAAAATGTATATACGTTCCAGGTAACTTTCTATTTTCCGTTTTATTTGTGTTTCCTGGTTTTAAGAACGAGAGTCTGTATGATCTAAAAAAAGCGTTTTAGAATAAAATTTTCTCTCTCTTTAAAAAAGATAGTTATAAATCATATATGTATGCTTTTACTTCGTTTCGACTCATTTTGTTTTGTCGAGAATATTTTTTGTTTGTGTCATTACCTAAAAGTTAAACCTACCACATAAATTAACAATCTAAATAGCCAATGCAGAACACAACGCAGAATAATAATTGTATCTAGAAACTTTAGTCATTGTGTCATTTTAATACACATATTAATTTTATGAATTGCAATTGCCAGTATTTATGAAGCAAGCAAATAACTTTATGACCTTTATTAAATGGATTGTTTTTTGAAACAAATCACGGTCTTACTTAGGTTAGATATTTGACATAGACAAAGCACATAAGGGTTATTTTTCGCAAATCGATAGCTATAATCTAAACTTTATCAAGAAGAAATTTCTAAAGATAACTTGCTCATTTTTATACTATCTACCAACAATAAGTATTTGCCATGACCTCCACCATTAAATATTGTATAGGAGAAAAAATTGACATTAGTGGCTTGCAGAATGCCACGAAATGCAGAGTTATCTGATTTCGAGAAAGATGTAACCGTCGTGTGTCACAAAAATAGCGACCATAACGTCTGTAAGTTAAAATGCTTTAAAATGTTCTAAATTAAGAGGTGAAAAATTCAGCGTAGTTGAAAATTATATTGTCTGCTCTCATTCTTCAGAATAAAATCTGCTGGTTTAAGAAAATTTAATAATGAAAATTTATTTTTTTATCTGAGGGATAACTGCTAATACATAGAAGTTCTAACTGGATTTCAGTGTCTAGTATAGAATAAAAATGTGTGTTAATATTTCATCAGTATTTTCTATCCTTTACGCTTCATGATATGTTAAACTGAAATATTCTAAGGCGAATTCAGAAATATATTTATTTATTTCCTCTGATTGAATGATAGAGAAATGGCTATTGCCAAACAAAGTTCTGAAATTTACTTTTTCATAATGAAATAGTTTTTAATAAATCATCTGAAAGACCCTGCATATGTTATACAGTAATTTCTTTTCTATTTTTCCTTTCTTGCAATTCATTCTGTGTTTTATTTCAGGGGCCTCGAGGACCTCCTGGTCTTCAAGGGCTCATCGGTCCGCCAGGACCAAAGGTAAGGTCACCTTTTATCTTATTTTTCCCATAGTATAATTGTTCTAGTAAAAATCGTGACAAATGCTAATTAGACAGATTATTATGCGAAATAACATGTAATTAGATGATCACGTAACTCATTTTAAATACACAATCTTTCTAACCGTTCGTTCTCGTGAATTATTCAAGATTTCAGAGTTTATTTACCTCAAAGAGCAGGTGCATACCTGTTAATGTCAAATGAATGCATAACATGCTAATTAATATTCCAAATATAACTCACTGCAATCAACGATAACCTGTCATTTCCATTGAATTTCCAGACTGCTGATATTCATGAAGTTCGTAAAAAAAACTTTCTTATTTTTTAATCTTGTCTGAGGTGGTCAAATCAAAAGAAAACTGGTATGAAAAGAAAAAGGCTTCTGAAATATAGTTTTTTCATAAAATTCACCTTACTTAACACAGCATCAAGGCAAAACATTCATCAATCATGTGAGCTCACCAGCGTATATTTCTTCCGAAAATAAATATTTAGTACAAGAATGAAAATTTAGCATAAATTATGTACAAATACTTACAATTATAGTTAAATCTGTATAATTATTTGTAGGGTGACCAAGGAAATGTAGGACCAAGAGGACCGGAAGGACAACGAGGAGTTCCTGGACCATCGGTATTGAATTAAAAAAAATTAATTTCAGTATCTTTTTTTTCATACCGATGCTTATTAAGGGTATTTTTCTCCTTCAGGGCCCTGCTGGTGATGCAGGAGCTCCCGGACCACCAGGGCTTCCAGGTATCACAGGACCAGCAGGACCACCAGTAAGTCATTTACTTTCCTCAAACAAAAACGTAAATAATTTTAAAATGCTTGAAATGTTCATATCCAACAATATTAATTTCTGTTAATGCGCACTCACCTTTTTTACTAATCGTGTACAACTTTTAAAAATTTTCTTAAATTTGAGAATGGTCTCTAAACGCATTTTTAATTGAATCTAACTTAAAAATAGACTTAAGTTAGGAGTTTCAACGCTTGTATCCCAAGGTTAAATGATCCTTAATGGTGATTATCTTCATAATTTATTGATACGTTAAATCTATTAAACTTAAAAATTATTATTAATACTTCATAAAAATGTTAAAAACTTATACAATTTTATGAAATGTCTCATGGATGGGTATATTGTTATTTCAGCAAATATTTCATATCTTTCTTTCATCAGTCCCTGATATAATTATCTAGTTAAAGGAATAAATCACTCCGAAAGAACGTGGGTATTTTCAGAAATTTGATGGTTAAGACCTTCAACACGAGTACAAAGATATCAAAGATTTTCTTTTAAGCATTATGACGCAGTGGCTTACATTGGGAGAATTCGCACAAACTGAGATTCAGGCGAATCCCAATCAATCTCAATTAGCTTAAACAATTGCAACCTTAATGAAAATGCAGTTAAGTTAAAATAAAAACGGAAACTATCTGAAGACGAATTTATCAAATACATTTATAACATCCAGTCTTCTTGGCTATCATACAAGTCGCCTAAATCTACCTCACGTCAAACCTTTGTGAATTTTTGCACAGGCGTGAAGATGAACACAACAGAGAGAGGGTGTAAAAGACCCTTTTATAACTTACAACTCATAAACAGAAATGCACGTACTTACGTGCACACAACAGCATCAACTACTGACGGTGAGAACTTAATGGTAATTTAACAATAAATTTAAAGCTAAGATTTGTGCTAGATTACACATTTCAAGTTTAAACCTAACAGTCTGACCTACACTGGCGACATACTAGCTAGAGAGCCAAAATGCATTGCCGTTACTAAAATTAATAGCTGGAGAATAAAAATAAAAAACTTGAGCTTCACTAGCAAATTCACGCTTTGTCTAACCTTTTCGTTTCAATCGTTTAAATACTCTCGTTCACCACCTACTTAATTTGTATACTGACGAGGAAATGTGAAGAGAAATAAAATAATTTAGAAAAGGTTCAAAACTGTAACTGTTAGTGCAACTAAACAGAACCCTGTAGATTTAGTCAAAATGTTGAGATCTGAAAGCAAACATAAAACAAGAGCAATTTGTAGTAATCGGTAGCTGGAATTTCTAAAATATATATAACTTTAAAATATATTATCAAGAAACTGTCGCAGAAAAGGTTGGTTTGGTTTTGGTTTATTTAATTATGGCAAAGCACACTAGGGCTATCTGCCTAAGGGGAGGGGATGCCTTCGTGGAGGACTTTCTAAGGGAAACTGGTTCGTATACACGTTACACATGGGGAAAACCACGAAAATGCCCATGCAGCCAGCCCGCTCGCGGGATTCGAACCCTCGGACCGAACTTCCAGTGTTCAGCGATTTTACCGCTTGGTGGGCCTCGCAGAAAAAGGAGACGTAAAGCGATGATTGCAACTTTACTTATTTTTCTAAAAATAACAGCAAGCAAAAAGCAATCTTAATTTCAAAGTATATTCCCCATAGAGATTACTAATTCAGAAAAGCCAAATTTACCATCGGAAATGTCCATGAACAGAAAAGTAGGAACTCGCACTAAGGAACATCGAAGGCAACAGTAGTTAATATAACGGAACTCCTACTTCTTTTTTCAATTTTCCATCCGTTGTTTAAATCGTGCCAAAACGTTACTAACGCTTTTCGAGCAATCGAATCCCATGCTATTTTTGAAAATTTCTTCCCGATAGGGCAATTTGTAAAAGTTTCCTAAGGACTAGAAGATTTAATTTTGATAAAGATGATGATAAAACTCGGGATTCTCATCTTTAGTTAAAACAAAGGAAATCATTGTCCTTATAAAATGCACTAAATATTTTAATATATTTTATGTCTTAACAACAATATATAATTAAGCAATGGAGAAAACCTAAAAGCGCTAATAAATGAACTAAAATAATAGGTATTTTTATGGGACTTGTCGTGCAACTTTAATTGCCTCATATGATATAGGTTATAATTAGGCAATATGACTGCAGTTACAGCAGTTTGCAAGAGTTTCGACAGTTACACGGTTTTAAAATGCTGATAACAAACTCCAATGGTTAAATGACGTTTTTCTAAACTGAACATGATACAAAAAGAAAAAATAATGCCTAGGCAATCTAATTGAAGGATTCATTTTAATCTTGAGAAAGTATTTAGACATTTTATAAGAGAACTGTTTTATGTTTACATAAATTTTAGGAGGAATTTCTGAGTACTTTTGTTATTCTTGTATGTCCTATTTCTTTTTACAGCATTACTAATGAGATCTTTTCTTTTCGAAATATATTCATTTCATATGTATATGTTTCTTAATTTTTTAGGGTCCCCCTGGTCCTCCTGGACCTCCAGGACCAGCAGTAAGTTTAAACATTTTATTTTAATCATCATAACATATCATACAGTCATTTGCATATATATCATATAATGAGAGTTAACGGACAGAGTTACACAATCTTTACTCTAATATATACCAAATATTGTTTAAAATCTGAATACTGCCATACTATTAACTTGATCACATTACATTAAGATTAAAACATGATCCCATTACTGTTAAAAACTAAGGATATTTGGACTTAAAAAAGAAATTAACTCCTGTAACCGAATATTAATTTATTTGTTATCTAACAGCAATGCAACAAAATTTAACAATTGGCAAATGGTACTAAATTATGATTATGTTCTCTTTTCTAAATGTAATGCTTTTAAACTCTTTTGTAATAAGGCAAAACTAAGTTTTCAATATAACCGTTTAAATGCTGTTCATGCAATTCAAGATAAATTTTGGAGCAGTTGATGTTATATACTCCTTAGTCGTGGACTTTATTTGTAGATAAAATTGTAGATGTAGTTTTTATTTGTAGGTATAAAGTCGAGAAAATTTAATACCATTAACGTAAAGGGTTGCACCTTTACGTTACGTAGTAAACAGTGAGAAATTCACCATCATTAAGGCAATAAAATGTAAAGATTTAAAATTGTAAATGGAATTACTTTTAAATGGTATAAGTAACATTATTAAAAGGAATATATTATCAATAGCTTTCTATTTTCTTTTATTTGTAATAAGACATAAAGAACTATGATTTTTTTCACTTCTGCTATAGTTAAAACTTTAGCAACTTTGATTTACGGAATACTTTGATACAACTTTGATTTGAACTTGATTACGGAATCTCTTTAGGATAAATTAATTTAAAGTTTAAAAATGCTTATATTCATTTATTCAGAATTTCTCCTTCCAGTTTTTCCATCCGCAATACCTATGATGTGAAATTTCTGTTACTCAATATAAATATTATATTCATGATTATTAATTTTCGTAACTTTTTAAATAAATGTATTCGATATATTTCTGTTTGCAGAGTGGAACTGAAATTGCAGACCTTCGAGCAATAGAAAGTTTACATGAGCTGCGTGGACCAAGGGTATGGAATTTCTGTTATATTTAAATATATATGTCCTGTTTATCTATTCTGGCAAATGCAGTGTTTAAATATAAGTCACTTACGCAATGGAATTTTATATTTAAACTCTGAATTCTCGATCATTTTTCTCGTTCTGGGAAAAACAGATGAAGAGAAGAGATGAGACATATTACAAAATATGCGAGAAAGTAGTGCAAAGCCAGCTGAATGATAAAATAATTTCTTATCGTTAAAAACAGTCTCATGTAAGCGGAAGATTTCATTCACAGTAAATGTTCGTCAAAAGGGAGAAAAGAAACCAAGGAAATGGAAGCAAAATTCAGATCAGTGATTTTCAAATATTGTACTGTAACTTTTCGACATTTTTTTTTACATTAAAGAACTTCCTGAAAAATCCTAAAGCTCTCTCTCTCTTTGAAGAACTGTGGAAAACTTTTGAAAATATTTGTGTGTGCGTGCTTGAAAACAGAAATTTAACGGTAGAAGTCCATTGCTATAAGTCCATTATAGATCATGTGGCAGTTTTTTCAAGTTAATAATTCGACTAAAAGTAATATATAGCTTAATGACGCTTATATAAAGGGAATTTTCAACCCCGAATATTGAAAATATGAGCATTTCTAAATGCTAGATAATGAAAAAGAAATTAGAATCCTCTTCTTAAAAAATAAATCTAAATCACTGATAAAATACCATTTGTTTGGTTAATCCTGAATCAAGAATTACGTTTGTTTGAGTATTACAAAATAAAAAATTGGGAGACAACCAAACGAATAAAATTTTTGCGAAAAGACATAAAAACATGCAGTTCAGAAAAATATTGAGTAATATTTTGAAAATTATATAGATTGCGCTTTTCAGTATAAACGCAACTTTACGTTAGGATAATATTAAACTTTATTGCTGTTCATTATGTTATATTCAGGTCAATATTTTACTTTGGAGAATAATTCTCTACGTGGAGACATTTTACTATTAATCGCAATAATCCGTGATATTGTGAAGGTTCTGTGATCAAAATAGCCAATTAATTTTCACGGTTTAATTACTTTACTTAGAACTGATATCATGCTGCAGTGAAATAATTTCTTTATTATAACCCAGTTCGAAAGATATTTCGGAATATTTGAGCTTAGAAAGATTCGGAGTATTTTCCGAACTTAGAAACTCTTGAGACTTCATTTAATCAAGATGAGTATCACGAAATATTTCCTGTTAAAGGAATTAAAATAAAAGAGATCAAAGCAAAAGATAGCCTAATCAAATATATGTGGCATCAAAAAAAAAGTATTCCTTTACAAAATTTAAGAATAATACAAAATTTAAGAAGAAAAATATGTTGAAATTGAATTTCTATAATATGATAAGTTTAACAGTTTTACAAAATGTTCAGTTTCACTAACAGACTTCACTTTTTTTCTATGCCCTGCGTTGGCAATACTGAATAGCTCCGATTACTGCATGGAATTCGGATCTTGAACTTGGCTGACCAGCAGATATTTAACATTCGTGTTTAAGTGGGTTGCTTATTGTATCTGATTTCTGAAGAGCTTTCAATGGATATTAACTATTGTGCTTAAAGTTTGTTTAAATAAATTCCATTGTTAATTTATATAGCTAAATTGAATGCACTTGAAATAAACAGCTATCAGTTTATGGTCTTTTTAAAGGTAGTATGAATCTCATTATAATAATTAGCTCTGAATTTTATTTAATGTAGACATGTTTAAAAATACTTATATTCATATATCCAGAAGTTTTACTTCTTGTTTTTTCATCCGTATTACCTACGATATAAAATTTCTGTTTTGTTATAATTTTAGCGCATTTAAGATATTATTTTCAAATCGAAATTTTGCAGTCGTCATAGGAATTCATTTTACATATCGGCTACAAAACAATAATTCGAAATGAAATTTAAGCTCTGGTTTCTGTTTTTGGCAATCTTTCTGCAAGCAATGTATAGTGTCTAATTTAATTAATTTTCTCAAGTAAGCTTAATAAAAAAATTTCACAAAATTCACACAAGATATGCAACGTGTACAAGCATGTGCAACTTGTACTTACAAAAACGTTGTTATTTCTGAACCCCTATTTCGTAGAAAATCACACTGGAATATAAAATATACTAGGCGTGTGTTATATTTAACCAGTGCACATGTGCAATAACTACAGACGGATCACTGGGTAACTTTAGGTATTTGGTCCTATCTGGTCGTGTTTCCTTAACGATTAAAAATAATAGCTAAAATAAACATAGGATCGTCAGTTATGAATTTTTGTACATGGTTTTTGATTTCAAAGCTCAAAACGTCTTAATGCTGTTGAAATTCAGAGTTGAGCTGTGGGAAATTTATAGGCATTCAGTAAACGAGAGAAGGAGAATTAAGGAACTGGTCACACTGATTTAGAGAAGGTCATGCAGTTATCCAAGATAAACAGAGAAGTAGGATGGCTAGGTGAACTGATGAAAGAAAAAATTCAAATAGATCGCTACTTTTAGATTATTGCTTTTGCTGCGCAATTTCCAGAAATGTCACAGAATACACTGTACAGAATTGTCGATGAAATTTTGTTAATTTATATAACATTTGTTTGGTTTATAAATTAACCAAACAAATCCCGCAAGACAGAAAGACTCTCGCAAGACAAACTTTTATAAGAATACAAATGGTGAGGAAACAGCGTCCTGAGTGGTATTTTGTGAAGTGATCAATGGATTTCTGGGAAAAATAAAGCAGAAAATTATCAAAAATTGGTTGTAAGCTGTAAACTGTTGTAACTGTGTAACTGTTGTAAATGTGTAAGCTGTTGTAAGCTGTAAACTGTTGTAACTGTGTAATTGTAAACTGTTGTAACTGTGTAATTGTAAACTGTTGTAAGCTGTGTGCGAGATGGATGCCAAAATTTGATGCACGTGGATTGACGCTCGTATAAAATCAAAGGGGAGTATCTCTAGGTACATATTCAACGTTATGACAGAAAAGGAGATGAATGATTTCCTTATATCGTGACTGGTAATAAAATGCAAATTTCTTACATCAGTACCTTGCAAAGCAATAACTCATATAATAGCATCATTTAAAATTCACGAAAAGAGAAAACGTTCGCTTAGATCCAGCACATAACCCACGAAATTAGGTGCCAGCTTTTTCCAAGGAGGTGACAAGTACCTTTTGATGGGTTTTATGAAACCAAAGAATGTAAATGACATGCCTTCGAAATTAGGAGTACTGTACAGAATTATCCACGTGAAATGCTGATGACAATATTTCATAACAATATGTTTGCATTTATTGCTGTTTGCAATATTCAAAAGCTTCAGTTGTTCCGCTAAAAAATTTGTAATCAAACCCCTACAGCCCTATCTTGTATCTACTGACCCGCAATGTCCACATTTCCACCGCAGTAAATAGTTCTGACACGAGCCATGAAGTAAAAAGTTTATATTTCTTGGTTTTTTTTGCCTTAGAATATAATTGATTTACTTTTTATTTTGCCTATATGTTAACACATGGGTAGGGAAATTCAAAAGATCGTTCTTTAAAAGCACACACTACCAATAGGATCGTTTATTTTAAGACAATTTAACAATAGCTATGTTCTGTTAGAAACTTCGAACAAGGTACTACTGCTACTGGTATGTATGATGCCCCGGTAATGAAAGAGAAAATATTCGATGGCTCTCAAATTCGCAGACTCTCGCAAGACAGAAACTTTTATAAGAATACAAATGGTGAGGAAACAGCGGCTTGAGTGGTATTTTGTGAAGTGATCAATGGATTTCTGGGGAAAATAAAGCAGAAAATTATCAAAAATTGGTTCAAGACCTCCTGGACATTTATTACAAATTAAGATACAAAATGTTTCAAATTATTACAAATTAAGATGCAAACAAAATCAGTGGAAGTTTCTACTTTTTCACATGGGCATTTTTACTGGGAATTTAAAAGCAGTTGGGAATGAACAAAAAGAAAGATACCACGAAATTATTCAAGAAAAACAGAGAAGTATCAGAGTAGATAACTATCCTACTATAAAAGAATGATTACTGTTGGCTTGTAGTTAGATAAGAATGACATTTCACTAGAGAACGAAATAAGTGCATATATTAAATTTACTTTTCATTTTCAGATTTCGAATACCTGATGTATACTATTAATTCTGGAATTTGTTTATAATATAGGTAAAAATTTTAATGCTTTATTTTGTAAATCAAATGAGGTTTAAATACCTGGTAAATTATAGATTTTTAAACATAGCATTGGACTAAAAGGTGAATTTCTGAAGAGTAACTCTGTACAGAGCAAGAAACACGAAAAATCAACTGCTAGGATGAGTACTATCACTTAAACCCCGACAGTAAGAACAGGGAAATGAGTAATTCCTTAAAGCTTTAGTTTATTGTAGTCTGAGTTAAATAAAAGTACTATCTGACTATATTTTACAATCATTCAAGTATATTTTTGAGGTAACTAAAATTGCATATTAATCATATTAAAATGTTTTATCTCTTTTGACAGAATCCACCTCATTCCACTCACACAAAAGCGTTATATATTATAAGATTTTACTTTATCTCTTTTGGCATTATGCTTTATCTCTTTTGACATTATGCTTTATCTCTTTTGACAGAATCCACCTCATTCCCCTCACACAAAAGCGTTATGTATTATAACATTTTACTTTCATTTTGCGTTTAGGAGGTCAATTTCATTAAAATAACTTCTTTATTCGGCAGACCAAAGATTTTGATTTGTTTACTAGTATTATTCAGTGAGTTGAATATTATATCACTATGTTCTTCAAACGAAAGGTTTGTCAAATTATCTTCTGAATGATATTTAAGAAAACAATGACCACATAACTGCATATTTACTCTTAATGTTTTCTTTTCAGGGATATAAAGGCTCAACAGGACCTCCAGGATTTGTAAGTTCACCTTTAATTTTATGTTATAATTGAAAAATGCATGAACTTCATTTTATCATACAAAACAGGTAATTAAGTTATAAGGGAATGGAACCAACAGGATTTTTATTTAGTCTCCAATTACCTAGTTCCATGCACAATAAAATTCACACCTAATTCCGTACATATTGATATGTAATGTATAGAATATTATTATTAAATTCCGGAGTATTTAACAAATAATCAAAAGGTTAACTAAAATAATAAGCGATAAACAAATGTACAAGATACGAAAACAACAAACAAACTTTCTCTTTTGTCATTTTCACTCCTGAAGCTGAAGAAGAAAGTTCTGTGTAACTTCCGAAACTAGTCGCACAAATTATTGCAACTTATGATGTTTCATGTTCCTTTAGTAGTTTCTGCAATCATTTCTTCACTTTTATTAAAATTATTAATGTTACGAAAATAAACTTCCTTCGAAATTTTCTAATTTTCCTTTATTTTACTCTGTTATTTTAAAATTTAGTACAACTAGTAATTTTTAACACTTGTTTTTATTTCACAGAAACAGCGTCTAAAGTACAGTGTTTTTCAAAAAGAAATCTGAAAACTGTTAGCTACCACATATGTTCATCAAACGCAGAACATAATTAACAGCAATAACTACCCTAAGATTGGTTGATGCTAATTTTTAACTGTATTTTCCTTGCTCTTAAAACAATAACAAATTTTATAATTGGAAAAAAGAATTTTTCAAGCAGGATATAAAGCATTTAAATCAGCTTTCAAAATGAAATTCAAGTTAAAGAATCTCGCTTTCTTTAGTAACATAAATTCATGAGCTCTAGAAAGACTATAGAGGAATAATCCTCTTGTCTTAAATCGTAGACAGACAAAGCCAGAAGAAGGGTGAATCAAATCGCTATTTAGTCAGGGTAAGAACGTAGCGTCAAGTAAGCAGAACATGCTCTAAAATTAACTTGCGAAATCTTCGCTTAAATAGGACTTCTTTCTCCTTTAATGTGAATAAACGCGGGCTATCTCATTTACATTCTGGCACCAAAAGCATAGGTTAAAATGAAAGTTATTTTAACTCAAATTTAACTCTTAGTCATTAATAAATAGATAAATCCTCCCAACGTATTAAAATCCGATTTTCTTGGAAGGTAGAGGCTACATAGAAGCGGTGTAATTTTCAAGAACTATTCATGAACTCTCGTTTATGGCTCGTTAATAATTAGTAGCGTCTTTTGATAAAAATTAATTAAATTTTTGGAAAAGCACCCAGCTATTTTCTCAAATTCCTGTATTACAAGTAAGGAAATGTTTTATAAAGACATGAAAATATTTCTTTAAAGCACTTACTTTGATATCAGAAAATACCTTAAAACTGCCTGAAATGTCTTTTTACATAATAAAATTGTTTAAGCAGAGATTAATATAATAAATCTTTTCGATATCCGCTTAGAAATACTCTTGTTTTCAAAGTAACATGTCGTCTTATTACCCAGTTAGATTAGTAATGTTTTTTTTAAGGAATGGAGATTTCCTAACATTTTAAAAGCTTTAAATAAGGTGCTGGATTTTAAAAGTACCAACTTTTTATCCCGGCAAGCTGCCTTCACAGATGCTGTGTAAGATTCGAGTCAGAACTTAGTTATCGTAAAACTTTCCTTTTTCTATAGGATAACTACTATTTCATAAGCTTTCAAGTTATTACTTATTAAAGAAATACACTTTTTTTAGCGTATGTTTCGCTGCATGATATATCATTTGATTTCCTAAATTATTACTTATATTGTAAGGCTTATATAAAACCTTGCTGAAAATATGATTTAAAACATTTTCTCTTTAAATTATTCTTTAAATGTCATTTATTGGATTTGAATTCTCATTTCTGGATCTTCATATAATCTTCAATATCTTCTCTTCTAATTAACAAAGAGATGAAACCAAACTTGATTTGTAAAGATGTCTACAGTTTCCATGGTGTCTACTGTTTTGGCTTACGACAGATATGTTTGTGTTATCTTATGTTCAGATTACAAACACTTTTAGTTTGGCATGACAGTCCGAAATCACCGACAGCCTGCCTTCTCGTGAGCCTGTAGTAAGACATCGAAGCTCAATAGAATGATCCTTCGGCCTTCTTATCCTCATTTTAACTCTAAATCACATCTTATATTGAAAAGAGCAAAAGAGTAATATTAAAATATGTTTTATATATTATAAATATTATCTCGAAACATGTTTGATCCATGAGTATTGATCAAAATGAAAATAGGAATTTACTCATTAAAATATCCTCCTTTTCAGCTAGTCACAGTGAAAGTTTAGAACGCGACAACTTCCCAAATTTTTAAAATTAACGCAGAAGGCAACAAACGAAAATCGCTCTGTCAAAAGGATTTGAGCGCTTCAGTGTAACTTGTTCGAAACACATGAAAATCCTTATTCTGAATTAACACAAGTTATTAATACTCTAAATGGACTAAAATTTGAATTATATCAAAATAATGAACATAAACCAAAACCTTTTTTTAAAGTCATTAAATTGTGTATGAAAACTTTAGCTTTATGGTATGAAATAATTCAAAACCAGATACATGAGACTTTTAAAAAATTTTCTTAATTCAGTTTTAAAATAAAATCAAAACTTTCGTGCTTTAAATAAATGTTTCCATTTCATGCTGCATTCTCAAAAATTGTCGAGGAGAGCTTCTCTTATGAATCAAACCGCATTTTGATTTCTCTTTAATATTTTTCGTTAATACTTTGTGAAAAAGATGAAAATTGCAAAGTAACGTTTGTAAATGTTATATTTGCAAACAGTTAAAAGTTTGACATTACGGAAACTATCTTTAGAGGGAAAAGTAATACAATCAAAGAAAAACGTTTGAAATGCTTTAGGTTATTTCATTCACGAGGAGATCACAATTTTTGAAGAAAACAAGAACACCTTATTCGTTGTCATTTCTGTTTAAGAAAAATCAGTTGATTGAAGTATTGTTAGCACAAATATTGCCAAACATAAATTTTCGACAAGATTTGGGAAGCTTAATATAAAGGCGCTGGAAACTAATGCCTGTTTTATGGACAATACTTTTTAGTAAGTCAGAAATAGCTTGGTTTACTAAATGTTTTATTCATTAATTACTAATAGTTCCGATTATCTGGAATCGTACCATTCTTTTCCAGCCTGGAGAACGTGGTCCTCCTGGAGAAAAAGGTCCTCCAGGCCCTCCAAGTATGAGAGGAATACCAGGTGCAGCAGGACCTCCCGGAGTAGCTGGAAATCCCGGAAACAGAGGTCCTCCTGGTATGCCAGGATTACCAGGTCCACCGGTCAGTCTGCTTTTCTTTTAATATACACTGTTTATAGTATCTATTCATGTTAATAAAAGCAGTCCTTAATAAAATGAGTTTTTATAGGGTCGAAGTTTTACAGAAGAAGAAATGCGAGAAATCTGTGCGTCTGTACTTCGAGGTACCAAATTTTTATAGATTTCAATTGTATTCCTTATAAGTTTTTAAGGTTTCCTTTATTTCTTAAGTGATATTCTAAATGAATAAGATGGAAGATGTAAGAAGTATCAGATAAAGTCGCATAACTTATTTTTAATCTGTTTTCAGTATTTTATGTTTAAATGCATTTTCTTAAAAAAATACGTTTATATACTACAGACAGTCTTGCAGAACTGAGCTCCAAGCTTCAGGGGCCCCCTGGGCTACCTGGCCGTGGTAAAACCGGCCGCTCGGGTCCTCCAGGTCCTCAAGGAGCTCCAGGTACAAAAAAAGATATAAACTTTCTTTCTTTTAAATTTGCGAGGGAAGGAAATATACCTGGAATTTCTCGGTGAGGTAGGAAGAGGCTCCACGATACTTGAGGACCCGAGAATAAATTTTATGAAATATATTGTAAAAGCTTTTTCTACTTGTGCGTAGACCAGATGGAGGATTTGGTGCGAGGACTCCATGGCCCACCTGGGCTTCCTGGGATAGGTCTGCCGGGGAAACAAGGTCCACAAGGAAAACCAGGAATTCCAGGTAGCTTCCACCTTCTGCATATCTTTCTAATGCATGAAATTAAATCTGTACAGCATGTTTAAATAAAGTCTCTAATTGAATCTTCAAATTTTTAATCATTCAGTGGTTTGCAATAAAAGCAAATATAATATGCATAATATATGTAATTAGAATTATGTTTAAAAATATTTTGAATTGCTGGTTTGCAATATTACAATAATAATAGATACCGTTTTTTCCCTTATGAATTTTTAACAAAATCGATTTTGCAATTATAGGAGATCCTGGCACTCCAGGATTGCCAGGTGAAAGGGGATTCATGGGTATGCCTGGAGTACCAGGCCCTCATGGCCCACCAGGGAGCAAAGGTATGTAATTTATAAAATAAAATAACCTGTTTTGATCCTTCCTCCTTTTCGTAACAATAATTTAAGAAAAGGGTGACATTTTGATAAATAATGTTTTCATAGAGAGAGGGCTGATTCATTTAAAACCAAGTTTTAATTTTGAATCGCATTTTAGAAATAGTATTAGTAACATTAAAATTTGAAAGTTGAAAGTTTCAAAGCACAAAACGTAAGTCTTAACAAATCTGTAGAATTCACAGTGGTGTTGCGATGGAAGTTATATGGGGATCGTAACCTCCCCAAAACGATTGCTGTATACTGAAATTTTAAACAGATCATTTCACTAATAAAAAAATTAATATCTTTATTTAAAATGATACAGCTGTTCACAAAAGGGAGTAATTTGTAAAGTTTCCGTATTATTATCACCTGATGGAGTTTATATTGTGATTCAGAAATTAAAAGACACGCCGACAAGTATTAATTTAGAATTCAAACATCAAAAATCAGCGTTGTATTTGCAAATTTTCACAGTGAAAAATACAGTTTTCATTTGCAAATATAACGCTGATTTTTTATAAATTATAAAGATACTGTTGAAACATTCAACGAAGATGAGGCTACATTGTATCACACAAATTCTGTGCTACAGACAGAACACTTATTGGATGTTGCCAGAGGAAAACTTGAAGCAATAAATTTTCAGCTAAACTCTGCTTCAAAAAAAAAAAAAAAAAAAAAAAAAAAAAAAAAAAAAAAAAAAAAAACCCAAGAAATCTGTTAGAAAATAAAGCCAATAATTGAGACTGTGGTTTTGTGCAGCAGGCAAGAACTATCCTTTTGCGGCTATAGAGATTCGGGACTGCTTGATATATCAACAGAATCAGAATCTGAAGCTAACGAAGCTTTCTCAGAAGGCAATTTTAAAGCCCTTCTGAGAAACAGCTATAGAAGTGGTGATGTTCATCTGGCTGTGAGCAGTTAGAAAGTTGTGGAGAAAATTACACATGTACTAGTCCGGAAGTTCAAACGAAATTGTGCAGTCTTGTGGCAACCATATAAGAGACCACGCAATGACGAAGATTAACTTTTCCCAGTGTTTCTCTGTTCTAGCTAACGAAACAGCAGATATTGCAGTTGTAGAGCAGCTAGCTTTCTATCTGTACCAGGTATTTTGACGAAACTGAACATAGCGTTCATGAAGATTTCCTCGGTTTTGCTCCATCCATGACTGCACATGAGAAAATATACCTACTCTTATCCTAAATAGCCTGAAATTATGGAATAAACTTGAATTATTTAAGATGACAAGTCTTGGATGGGTCAAGTGCGCAGGCTGTATTTTTAAGTGGTATTCATTTGCATTACATGAATACTGTAGTTCCCATAGTTTAAATCTCACTGTCTCCGATGCCTGCTCAATAGAAAGCTGTAAAGTCATTAGGTTAATTTGAAGCAGGTGATGGGAAAAATGTGCAATGCTCGCCCTAAGACTCGAACCTGGACCTCTCGAACACTCGCCGAGTGTGTCTATTAATATTAATATCTTTCGTATTAAAATGTGATTTTCCTTTAATTTCTGTAAAAATATTTTAAGCTTTTATAACTCCTTTTCAGAAAAAGTTAATATTCAGAAAAAATTACTATGAAAATATTTTAGTGACATGCTTCTTAACGTAAAGCGATTCAATTTTCAAAAAACAAAAAGTGTATATTTGTGAATGAAATTCGTTAAAATGAAAATAATTAATTATAGATAGGAAGGTAAATGAAGCTAGAATATTTGTTATGGCGATATAATAATCTTCTTGTGTAATTTTTGTTTCATTCTTAACATGATGTGCTTCTATTTTAGGTAAATATACTAAGCTTTGAGCAACTGCATGTCAAAATATGTATTAGATATTGCAACTATGCATTATGTGTCATATATTTTACCTTTCTGTTAATTAATTTTTCCTATGGCGTTAATTAATTTTTCCTATTAATTTTTCCTATGATTTTTCCTATGGCGGGCACAAACCGTCAACAGACGTTGGCCACTACTAAGGATAGAAGTAGTGGTCATTTTATTTATGGAGGCACCTAACAGGTGGGCCACCTTTGCCTCCTATGAGGGGACGGACAAGCACAACCATGGCTTCTCCGAGATTCGAACTCGGACCCTTTGGTATTGTAGTCGGCTCCTCTAACCACTATTCTGTCTGGGCGGCCCTTTCTGTTAAAATAACTTCAATAATATTTGGAAATTATTTATGATGAATCACCGTTTAAATTGTTAAGTGACAAGCTCTAAAAGTGCTTCTAAACATACACTTTTGATTGTGAAAATTAGAGCATCATGAAGTAATTATAAGAAAAACCCGAAACTTGAACGAAATGCAAATAGATTAGAATTTCAAAGTGATTAGAATTGGAAATGATTAGAATTTCAAAGTGATAGCGCATATGTGAGTTTATCAGTTGCCTCTATATTGTCGCATTAGCCATATAAATAGATACCTGTAGCAGAGCCTTAAAAGTAGTGTTTCGTTAAGATAAAGTAACACGCCGACAAGTATTAATTTAGAATTCAAACATCAAAAATCAGCGTTGTATTTGCAAATTTTCACAGTGAAAAATACAGTTTTCATTTGCAAATATAACGCTGATTTTTGTTGTTTGAATTCTAAATTAATAGTGTTTCATTATCTGCCATCAGTAAACGTGCATTGAGTGCTTAACCCTCTCAGCGTTATGAACAGAAAATACTGTGCAGAAGTCTGGCTGTCTTATTCATTACACATGAAAATTTCGATGTATTATTGGAAGAAAAGAAATCAAGGTACAAAGTGAAAGAACCATTTTTTAAATATAATTAAGAAAATACATTTTATTCATGACATTCTGAGGAACTTTAAAATTTCAGTACTAAAATCAGATTGCTTTGCGCAGGATTCCCATGACTCAAAATTATCGACACCTGCCATTCCAATATGCTCTTCAGCAGAGGCATTTGCCTGCCACTTGGCAACAGATCGGCTTTTCCAATAAATTCCTCTATTACGTATATGAAGTATAACCCTGGCTTAATATATACGTTAGACAGTATTGATGTTAATATCATCTTCCGGAGTGTGTCTTCTAAAGAATGTCAACTTCTGGCGTCATACTACACCAAGGGCCGTCAACTAGTATGAGGGAGTATCTCGTCTACTAAGCATTTATAATATTGTGATTCTCACCAGCAACGCTACCTCAGGGAAGTTATAGAGACCGAAGTCGTATGCTTCATTCAAGGTTTCCTAGAGGTGTATTCCAATAGGACAGCGTCTATCCTTATGTTCGCAGAAATATTCAAGTACATACAATATTCATTCATCAGATTATGATTGGTATTTCGTGAGCCAGCACCTCATTATATTCGTTCCGCAACCAATATGGATCAACTTTGTGTTCTGATAGAAGTATTGCGGAATATTGTTTTTCAAGTGCACATTCAAAACCTGTTTCTTCCAATACCATGAGGATACGAACTTATATTGCAGCGCATGGCGACTTCAAATACGGATTTTTAACGTTTAACTTATATTGTTCTGTAGATTCAATAATTACTTTTTATTGAAACTTGTAGCATGCAGAATAAATTTAATTTTGATGATTCCTTCATTGTATTGTAATTTTCACAAAAAGAAATATTTATATGATCAGAGTAATGAAATGCTTTCTTGCCTACTTAGTTTATATTATTTAAAATCTTTACTGTAACATTTTAACATCATTTTACATTTAATTGAATGGAGTTCCTTCATTTTAAATAAGGAAATTTCTTTATTAACAGCATTTCTTGATTATAGAAACTGCATTTCCTTTCTTTGATGTGCCGTTTTAACCACATATTAGTAATTTTCATGTATAATGTTATCGCAATGAATTTAGAATATAAATATTCGCAAATGTTACTCCTTCTCATTTAAACTAACAATTACGATTATTTATATTCCAAATTCACTGTGATATTTACAGATGTTCTGAGTTATCCATAAGTTGCTGCTTCATTCAGAGGCGGTTAAACTTGCTTGATTTCACAATGACTTGGGGTCATGAAGATAACGAATATTTAGGTTTCGTTAGCTTTGGGAAGTTAGTTTCGTTACCTTCCATTACTGAATAAATGTTGTGAAGGTATTTCAGGGCAATTTATTGGTGAAATCTTCCAGAATTTTTATGCTCTGAAGTAGTACCTAAATCTCTAGATCGTTTGCAGCATCCACAAGCTGCTTTCCGTAAACTCACATATTCTGGTATTTTTATCTCTAATCTCACTATGCCTTTCTTTATTATTCCGATTGGTGATTAATAACGACCCCATTTTTTATTATTTTATATGATCTCGTAATAGTTTCAATTTCTTACCTTCATAGATATGCGCAAAAATTTTACACTTTACGGTAAATGTCACAGTGAATTTAGACTATAAATAATTGCAAACGTTAGTTTAAATGAGAAGGTGTAACATTTGCAAATGTTTGCGTTCTAAATTCATTGCTACCGCATTATATATGAAAATGACTAATCCATGTTGTTAAAAAGGCACAACAATGAAAGGAAATGTAATTTCGATAATAGAGAAATGCTCTGATATTAATCCTTTAAAGAAAAGCAATTTTTAATCTAAAAATTTAATAATAACTGATTTAAAAAGATATATACGATTTTCATTTCTTTCTAGCTTTTCATCTCCTTGTAATACATGGAAACAATGCCAATGATTATAGACCTGTAAATATAACGCTCATATTTTACTTATTTGTATTAATTACAATATAGTTAATATATTTCATTGTAGGTGATAAAGGCGATAAAGGTGATAGGGGTCCCGAAGGTATTGGAATCGAAGGGCCGATGGGATTAAGAGGCCTTCCAGGTAAATACTTAATCGTCTAATAATTTTACACCACATCTTCTGATAAATTCTGAAGTCATTTTGCACAGACAGTTTTGAACGCAGTCAAAATAATAATAGTAGCTTTTATAATTGTTTTAAAACCAAACTATGGCAATGGTGTCTTTGAGTATTTGAAAATAAAATGTTATTTATATAAAAATCATCTAAAATTAAATATCTTAGAAAGAATTACAAATATGATATATTAATATCAGTTTTAAATTAGAACGAATTGAATCTGCATTTGTGACATAGTCTTTATTTATTGTTTGGCTGTATTTATTATGTTTTTCAATTAGTTTTTCTTTATTGCATATTTGTATTTAATATACATCTCAATTTACCCAAACTAGGTCCACCAGGACCTCCAGGAGTCGGAGTTCCGGGAAGACCAGGAGATCGGGGCCCGCCTGGAAGGCAAGGTTCTAATGGTGTCCGTGGAGCACCAGGTCCTCAAGGTCCACCAGGTTATTGCGAACTATGCAATTACCCTAATTCAGATCTTGTCAACTATTTACAACCACCTCATGGTCAGGTGAATAAGGGAAATACAGATAATGACTGATCTCCAAGTCTTTTTTTGCTAAGTCAAGCACTGCCAATCATCTCGACCTCCCTGAAAATACAGACAATGCAAAATATTAAAACCAGCTTTTTGTCTTACGATATTCCTAACAATGTGGTCACGTGAAGGGCTCAGAGAATTTCTGAGTAAATCCTAATTCATCTGCGACTGTTCATTTCATCGACATATTCTCCTGTAAAGACAGAACTGAATTGTTCGAAAACATTAAGCTGGAACTCATTCTCTGGAAGCTAAATATCTTTTGATGAACGTATTTTGAATTCCAAACTATGAAAATAGCAATTTCGCGAAGTATTTTATACCCATATTTAAAATAATACTGAATGTATTTCCCAAATGGCAAAAAACAAGTTCTACTGACAGTTTCATACGTTGAATTTCGTGTGCATGTATTTTACAGATTTAAAAATATGAAAGCTATTGTTAATAGTTGAGGAATTTGTTAATGCTTCCTTTTTAATGAATTAATTGGTGATTGAAATGCATTTATTGTAGCATACGGGGTATATGAAAATTTTTAGGAGTATTTTAAGCCTTATCTTGTAACCATGATATTTCCTTGAGTGAAAGTAAGAACATAAATGAAATTAAATTGGCTACTTAATAAATTTTTCAAAATAATCGTAGTGTAAACATCAAGAAATGCTTAAAACTAATTTTTTTATGAATAGCAATATGTACGTTTTCATTAAATTTTAAATTATATTTAACGTCTTATTGCTTAAAATAATGCTTTTTAGAATAAGTTCAACTTAATGTCTTTGATATGTTCTTAGCGTTCTAAAGAAGACAACTTGCTGCATTTGTTGATTTTGGAAAGTCCATTATGGTGTTCAGTCAGTAGAACTTCGCTTACATCAGACAACTATTGATCTCTAATGAGTAGACACATGGGAATTTTTGTATGCCATTTAATCCTTTTACTGAGATAATGAAAATATATTTTTTACTTCTTATCTTACCTCTTTTTATTAAATTCTGGAAAACCTAGTCGGAACACTTTCCAGAAGAACGAATACAGTGATTTACATCACCGGTGAGGATATACAAATTCCTTTTATTGTGATTATGTCCAGTATTTTTTACGTCACTAAATTCTAACCTTGCTACACTGCTTGATGAATTGTGATATGTATGCCATAACGTGCCTTTGTCTCATTTTGTTTAAGCTTCAACACTGCCAACATGTTTAAAATAATCAACTGCATTAACTGTTATAAGTTATGACATTAATCCATTTTTGTACGTGCTTTCTGCATAGTCTTTACTGTTTTCAAATAGCCACATTTTCAATATAAAGGCGAAATTTAAAGGCATTTTGTTAAAAGCTGGAGACATAGCACTATATTTTAGCGTTAAATTTGTTTCTTTCTAACGTTTTTTGATATGCTGTTGAAATGCTTAAACTGGGAACTAACTTTCACTCGTAACTAAACGTTGATGAAAGTACTTTCACTCTTTCGGGGAGATTTCTTCTTGCATCTTGTAGTTTTTAAAAACGACAACTCAAGTTTAGCTCAACTTATGAAAGGGTTATTCTAATTTTTCATTTGTGTACATCTGAAACTGCATTGTTTCAATTTCTTCATCATGATTTTTCAAGTATTTTCAGAGTGAAATTTTTTATCACTTCTGAAATTTTGTATGTAAAAATGAAAATTGTGAAAACACACTAGACACACTGTAAGATAAATTTAACATGTGATTTGATATAAAGTTTGTTTTTGTACTTTTACTTGGCTTTTGTTACTGAAAGATTGCGTTGTGCATGCACAATTGTTATAAAATAATGTAACATTAAAAGAATTTAAAATTCAGTTTCATGTTTTATCTTTTACTTGAAATAAAAACTGACATTTCTCTTATTTCATTTTAGATTTTTAAAACTACGAAAAAATGTATTAGTTATGAACATCTAAATAAAATATATTTATAGATCATGATTTTTTTTAATTGGCATCTCATTATCATATGCCAGATAATTTAATATTTTAATAATTTCTGTCTAACGTGAACAGATAATATGCAAACGTATTTCTCTGAATATAGAAAGTGATTACAGATTGTAGTAAAATATATAAAAATGCTATTAGTAGTGTTTCAAAAATAATTATTACTTAACTAAATGGTAGTCGCTAATTTTTCTTGAAGATCAGAAAAAATTAATTTAACATGAATTATCTAATTGAGCTTCCGCTAAGCATTAAATAGCGACAAACTATTCACAGGCCTTTCACAGGGAAGTTAAAATAGTGAACTGTACTAATTATTAATATGTTTGTAAGGATACCTTACCTAAATTTCTGAATTACAAACTGAACAAATCTGCAAGAACATTTGTACACAGATATAACAGTATTAATAAAAGTCTAATATTGCTAAAAACAATGACAAGTTGAATGTATCAAATCAATAAAGTAGGATAACAGTGAAAAATCCATTGGATCACCTTTTATTAGTAGCAAATTCATCTGAGTAAATATTGCAATATTTATGATATTCAACAGTGGAAAGTAATTCGAAGAAACATTATAATCCCTTGGGAGAATTAAATGGCACGTGAAACGACCGTATAACACAAAAAAGTATTCATTGGATCATAACTGAACATGCGTTACTGAACTCAAGTTGGGAGTCAATGGCATGCTGTGCGAAACAATATTATAAAAAACGACTTTAATATGTAAGTTAATTACACCATTTTCTAGGCAGAAAAGAAGAAAGAAATGCATTGCTAGTACACTATTAAATCTTCATTTACTCGGGCAACAGTCCGACATAGGCCTTTTTTGAAGTTCTGAAAGCTTGTCTGGTTCAAGTGATAACCCTTAACCCTTTCCGGCACGCTACCTTTTAAAATTGGAGTTTTGATATATATATATATATATATATATATATATATATATATATATATATATATATATATATTAAAAAAAAAAAGGCAGTCTAATTAGGACTAGAGAAGTACACAAGTAAAATTTTGTGAAGATAGCACTTATCGTTTAATTCTGTGGGTGTGCCCAAAGTGGGCAAACTGATTGAATAGAGCTTCGAAAAGAGTGCTGAAACGAGCATTGTTGTCAATGAACTGACCGATGAGATGCGGAGAAACAAAGAATACAGACTCTCAGTTGTCCTAGATTATCGGTGAGCCCGGTCTAGGCACACCTAGGGTTCGTTGTTTGATTTTAGGCCAGATTTCAAGGTAAAAATTTAAAACTAATATAGAATAAGGAGATTAGCATACAGCCAAAAAAAATAGCATAGAAATTTCTTTTCAAACAATTTTTTTATACCCTAAAAAAATCTGGAAGATTTCTTTGAAAAATTAAACATGGCTAAAATATATGGACTGGTTTGTGTTGAGCTGCCGTCTACTGTAAATAAAGAAGGTTCAGAGTAACCTATAAATCCTTTTTCATTCAATTTTTCTGTGCGTACAGAAGGAAATTTTAGGTGTGTCCAGACCGGACACACTGTGCCGCAAAGGGTTAACGTCTCTCCTGTACCTGTCTTTCAGACTGGGGTTTTTTATTACCTTGAAGGCGAAAGAACACTTTCAAAATTGATATTGTCTCTATCCCAAGGCAGAATAAGATTATTTTGTAACTCTTCCCGAAATAAATCAAGCCAGAATTAGTCCCCTCGAGTAATTTTACACACAAATGTAGAAATAAAAGAGAAAATAATATTTAAATTATGTTGCCTTTTTATGCAGTCTACAACAGCTGTAGCTATTCTAATATTTACTGTTTCGACACAATGACAAGACGTCCTGTCATGTTAGTTACATATCAATGCAAACTTTGTAGCTATCGATGCATTTTAGCATACTAAAATATATGATATGCAGCATCTAAATTTTGAGTTGGATTCAGATGCGAAAATTGCAGAAAGACTATCATTCAAGAAAAAGCACCTTCCATGAGTAAAGATCATCCAACTTACCTTACATCTAACAGCAGAATGTTTTCGTTTCAAGCGCATACCTAAATTTATCAATCAATAAAAATCAATTTAAAAGCTGAATACATTCTAACAGGAATAAACTGGGTCGAATATCGAAAGCATACTCCCTAATATAGCAATAACCAGGCGATATATTCGAGTGTTGCTTGCATCACATGTAGAGTAGAAAGGTATTTTTACTCGGAAAGGAATTAAAAATTATATGCGTTTATCGATAGGAGATTCGAAATGAAATAACTGCAGTATTCTTTCCATAGAGTATGGTTTGTTTTAAAGAACGGACCATAGATGTAAAAAATACTTCAAGTAGATGAAAAAAAAAAAAATTCCATTGTTTGCAGTTTTATCAATAAAAAAAAAAAAAAAAAAAAACTATTTTAGTTTATTATGAATACTTCTCAATTCAACAAAAATGTTATTAAATTTTGTAATATTTTTGGAATAAATCTGATTAATTACATGAAAAATTTAATCATTACTCAATCCAATATGATTAAAGGAGCTAAATTCTTTTAGTGCAGGCCATTTATATACATTAAGAATGTCCTAGTGAAAAACGAAACGAAGAAGTGAAACCGAATCATCATTATAATCCCAAAGCAGAAAAATTAATCAAATCGTTTCCAAATTAGCCAGAGAATTCGAAATCGTAAGTATTAGTAAAATCGTGTAAAGACCTAAAATGGTTAAAATAGCATAAAATAAACTATAATATTCATAATAAAATGCAGAGGCAAATTATCTGTTATACCTAAACATGAAATGGTTTGATTTAGCTCAGAAATTCTGAGATCATCTTCAGGTCTTGTCCATTACCTATAGAGAATTCCTGTAATAAATACAATGCATTATACCCAAGTAATTTAATATGTTAATTTAGAAGTATGATGTTTCATTTAAACTGCAGTAATTATAGGACAATTAGAGGACAGTTAAAAACTATTTCGAAGCATGACAGATAAGCAACGTTTAAATAAAAGAACTTTTTCATCATTAAAGTAGTACAACTCTCTTATAACGAGCCCTTATTTAACGAGAACCCGGATTTAACGAGTAAACCGAAAATACTTAATTGGTACAATGTTTAGTTTATGCGAGCATAACTCGCTTTTAACGAGCAAACCTCGGTTATAGCGAGCAATATTTTTGTGATTCATAAATGTGATTCATTTTTATTGACTTCCACCTCTCCAGCTCAATTAATTGCTTCATGGAAAAATTTCTTTTACATTCTGAAGTCAACCGTTAGTTAAAATTAGGCAGCCTTTTCTTATCTTGGGGAATGATCAGGATTGAATTTTGACCCCCAAATTCTATAAGTATTATCCAGCCTATGGACCAAGCGATCATCAGAAGTTTTAAATCAAACTTTCGTAAGCACTTGATGTTGATGCTTCTCTATAGACGAAACAAAAGTAGAAACAGCCTTCAAATGCTAATGAAAACATACTCGAAGCGATACGTTTAAAGAACGATGCAGGGGAACACGTTAGATCAACATGCATGACCAAAATGCTTCCGTAAGGCTAGATAGGACATTTCTCAAGAGGGGAAAGAGAAAAAAGTAGATGTCTTGGAAAATTTGGAAATGAGCAGAGAAGAACTTGAAAATTATGTATCTGTTGACGCCAATGTTATCACTTCCGATGTACCTACTCCCGAAAATATGCTGAAATCCAAGCTAAACCAGACGACAAAAAAATAAGGAAAGCGACGATAATAAGGGCGAATGTGAGGAATTTCAAAGTGAACATAGTCAATGGCTTTTGAGTGCGCAGAAAACCTTCAGACTTTTTTCGAAGCTCGGGGTATGAATGACAATGTATTTCGGGCCATACGTCTTCTGCGAAGAACAATAACACAAGAAAGAGACAATAGGGCAGTTCAAAGCAAATTAACCAACTTTTTTTGCACTGCACAGAAATAAAAAAAAATATGAAATATATATAACATAGTAAATATATAAGAATTTTTATGACTTTTTCACGAACTCGTTTTATACGAGAACTCGTTTAACGAGAAATATCGAGGTCCCCTTCACGCTCGTTATAAGTGAGTTCGATTGTAATTTCTTCATGTTTGCTCTTCCATCTTGAAAAAATAATAACTGAAGACTATTAACATAAAAATTTATTTTGAGACTCATAGAAAATAAATTTACATATCATATAAATTTTATAAAAGTATCTAATGCATTATACCCACGAATGAAAATTATTGTTTTCTTTGTTAGAAAATGTCCATGGTATAAAAACACACACTGTAAGTAGAAGATGACTACCAAAATCCACGAAATGATGTCTATGAACTGCGAAGATAAATGGTTGGATCAGATGAAACCAGATGGCGACAGCAGCAGACAAAAACCGCTGAATGTTCACTTCTTGCTCCCACCACGTATACTGCTGCCCTCCTGTGGACAAAAAGGAAAACATTTATTAATTAAAAATTGCTTGTGTTGAATCCAAGTATATTTGCTTTTATTTACTTCAGTTAGCGATTCTGGGAGTAAAATTGTATTCCTTATAATTAACAATAGATATTTTTGTTGTTAACATTAATTATTCAATTTTAAGAATAGAATCATGCCATAAAAACCAAATGCGGTCACTGAAATTAGAATCAGGCACTGAAAATACGAAAGAAACAGTTTTGCTTATGACACAAAATAGCAGTTGTTTTGCATGCAGATCGAGAATAAAAATTTTAATCCATTTTTATAATTGAGAGAATATAATACTAATGTAAACTCTGCGAAAGAACATACGAATTTCAAGATAGCGTACTCTTTTTAACTCCAACACCAGCCAGCTTTAAATTGCTTTCCATACTATCCAAAAACTTGTAGTTGCCTCTAGTTTAACTTGAGGCAACTACAAGTTTTTTTTTAATTTTTTGGGGGGGAATATAGATGACCGTTTAACTTTAATTCATTGTATGGCAAAGGAAATCATTTTGTTCTTTCATTATTGTTCTTATTATTTAAATTTTCTATTTGTACTGAAACGGAAAATGAATGCATGTTTTGTCTTCTGTTACAAAACAAGGGGAAATAATAACGGAAATACCTTCATATAAAACATATAATAATGGAGACATCAATGAACGTGTGTAAATCTTTCGGGGAATTTAATAGGCGAAGCACGCTTTTTTGATTTTTAATTAGTTAGCTACAGTAAGCCTGGACCCTAAACAAGCAGATTAAAAAATACATTAAATTTTAAATGTAACATATTCGAATATTTAAAAAAGTATTGTCTAACCAGATTTGTAACAAATGACATTAGGACAATTTTCATTATTATCATTATTACAGTAACATAACAAATAGTCATAAAAATTATTATTTTTTTGGATGCAGTGTAAATTGCATCAATAAAATGAATTATTTAATTTAAAATAAAGATAAAATTATTAAGAAATGGAGGATGAGGCTGATTGTTCTGATTGTTTTCATGACAATGTTATGAGAACATGGGCTACAAATATATGCGAACATTGTTAGAAATTGTAAGAGGTATTATTCCTGCTATTGTCACTTACATTGTAATAAGAAACTAACATGGTGGATCCCTTGTAGTTTAAATTGCGCCTTAAATGTTTAAGTTTGTTTAAAGTAACCTTTAAATGTTTAAGTAAATGCATTGAGTTTAAATTTAAGCTAGTGAGTTTAAATTGCCTTTTTTTCAATTTAAACTAATGAGCAAATTCAACCGAGAATTCTTCCGGTTTATCTCTTGAATTTAAAGCCAAATACTTTATTTATGTAGAACAATATTTTTGTTGTTATCAATCAGGGTTTGAGTTATAGAAGTTGAAACTTCTAAAGGAGATTGTCTTTTATTTCTTCCGGTTATGTATTTCGTTCTGTAAAAACGCAATTAATAGATAAAAGTTCCCCAAATATTTTGAGATATTTCACTGTACTTTCAGAAATGTTTTTTTTATTTCATGTAGACTCGAAAAAAATCAAAATATTCAGCAAAAATATATTTCGGATTACTATAATAATAAACCCAGCTTGCTCCAATATACACATCTAAACTGATAACATTGTTTACGGATTTTTCCTTCTTTGAGACATAAAATCTGAAGTAAAAATTCCTTTGCAAACTTTTGCATTTTAAAAATTATCTTTGATCATTTTGTTGGAAATTCCCAGTTTTCCAGGAATTTTTTCTAAGTATCCTCTTTGTTCATTTTCTAATGGCAATATGAAGTCGCGATTAAGTACTTTTGAGACAGTTCCCGATCCAATAAGTTTCTTATCCGTTGCGGCTAGAGTCGCAGCTGTTGCAGCCGCTATTATAGCAGGAATGAGAAAGGGGAAAAAAAAAAAAACCCTCTCGCTTTGTTCTGGTATAGTTGATCATTGGTCAAAATTATTTTTTCCAGATTTGAATTTTTTTATTCGAGATTTATTAAAACTATGTCAAAATTAGGTGCCTTTTCATTTGAGGTTTTTAAAGAAATTCCATTTTTATTTTTAAATTCTTTTCACATGTATCTCTTGGACGATAAGAAAGATAAACGCTGGTTTTAAAATTACTTCTCATTTATACGGAAATAAATTCATTGCTTCACAAAACCATTAACCATTTCCCCATTTCTTAGCAAGTTTTCAAGCAACAACTTTATGTGAACTATTTTGCATTAAAAACCGTTGCAAATGTTTTGAGTCAGTTCCTTTAATACCTAATTTATTTTCAAAGCCCTTACCGGTCAGTAATTTGAAAGAACCTGTTCTTTTATGTATTCTTTCCAAACACGTTTCCAACACCTTTTTTCTCTTATCATAATCCTCTGCTGTCGATCGCTTTTCTTGAATTTCTGACTCAGTCGAATTTTTTCCTAGATATAACAATTTACATCACGAGAGCTCACACGGAAGATTGCGATAATTTTTCATTTTCTCATCACTTAATGGCGACTGGGGCGAAATATGAGACATATCCATCAAATCCAAGTGGTGATGATTTAACGAGCGCCGCATTTTAGTTTGTTTGTCAGTGAAGAGACCTTAGTATGGTTGCAGAGGCAGGAAATCTGAGAAGTCAAATGTACTCTCACCTGAATATGAAGCACGGATTTTTGATTTGCTAGCCGCTACATCAGTCACACCATCAGATAATATTTCAAGTGATAAGGTAGTTTGCTTGAAGTGCCCTTTAAATGGTGCAGCATCACACGCATGCATATCTTCCTATATACGCTCTCACCCATATATACATCTTCCTATATATGTGAAACTTGTGCCAGCTTGAATATGTTTACATTAATATCTTGTATTGGTTTATTTCCTTTCTTTGAAATAAAGCAAATACGTAAGTACTATCTTTCTGGTGCTGATTTACCATTATCACTCTAACCGTTGTCTACCCAGAGCGTGGAAGTATTTTCTTTCGGTTAGTGGAGCTTTTGGCCGGTTGGGGAGGTCCTTGAGTTTTTTGCATTTTGACTTTTTGCATTGAAACATTTTGTATCATTTTTGGTGTGTTCTGAAAAGAACACAACAAAAAAGCTACAAAATGTTTAATGTATTCTAATCATGCAATTACTTGAAACAACACTTTACAAAATCTGTCCTCATAACTAATAAATTTTGCAACAATTGTGAGAAAAACTCACATATTATTATAACATTTGGAACTGCGTTTTGAAGATCGTATTTTAGCAGAATTTTAAAAAATTCCAAAGAACTAATTGGTTCATCTCTGTTTCGTCTTCCTTAGTAAAAACAGAAACGAAATTATGTATTATTTTATGTTCACTGAAGAATTCCTTTCCATTTAATGGCATAGTGATTATAATTTACCTGACTATTGTATTTTTCACACAAAAATATTGATATAATAGAGAAGGCATAGAAAGAGCGTAAAGGTGTTGAAATATCATTGTGATTTCTTCGAATGCTCTGTCGAGTGTAAAAAACATTTTTCTCTGTGATTGAATTTCGTAAAGCAATTGTCTCCCGATTCTGTAGTTATCATCAGTTTTTTCTGTCTGCTTTGACGAGCAGTAAAAAATTGTCTCACCTTGAAAATTTACTCCTTCCATCATATATATATATAATATGAAAAGAGGAGGATCTATCAACAAGCTGAATATTCCTCGATTTTCATATTGACTAGATTTGATCCCTGAATATGATTTTGTCGTAAAACAGAATTATCTTATACCAAAATCACGTCAGAGTGATTTCCTTAAGCAACAGTTTTTTTTTTTGTTTTATTTTTTCGTATTTATATCCACTTAAAAAAATTAAAACATATATTCACTAGTATCAGCTAAGTAATTACAGCGCTGACTAGAAATTTAATAGAGGAAGTAGAACATGGTGACGCCTGAAAGTAGTTACATTAACAACGCAGAAATGTTTTCTATTTAAAACAATCCCACTCAACTTTCGCTGTCATGAAACGTAAAATGATCATTTGAGAATATCTTGTAATATTTGCATTTTGGTGGTTTAATATTAAAATTACTGTTTATGATTTGCTATGCGACCTCTACGAAAATTATTCTGCCTTTGAAGATCATGAATGATCATGGCAATAATCATGCCTTTCAAGCATGATTATTGCCTTACTGGACGTATAAATCGGATTTTCCTTTTGAGACATCGCATCACATACAGTAACAGTTGTACAATAATGCCAATGTGATACCAGTAGGTAGATGGTAGTAATATTGTATAACAAAGATCGAAACAACGTTCATGCACCAGAGGTCTGTTATTCACAAGATTCTTCAGCATTTACCATTCAAAGCCATTTGCTGATGAAAGGCCTCTTCGTTCAAAATTCTTTCCTGGCGAAGAATGGTGTTATCATAAGGCTTACAAACGAGATACGCTTCTGCGTGATGCCTTTCAATAAATGAATGAATAATTTTGCGGAGTTTGGACCGAGCTTTCGTGTAAAGGCAAAAAAAAGCAGCTTGACACGATAAGTTACAATATGAATCACTATTACTTTCACTATCGTCTCATGCTGTATGGCGGAAATATTTGGTACCATTTTTGCATCGAGAAAATTATAATACAGCTTTATGTTACATTTATCACCAACTGGCTTATTGCTTACTGTCATTTTGCAGGAAGACAAATTATAGCCCAAAGTGGCATAGGATGTGCTAATTTTTCTGACTGCCCAAATGATGACACTTGTTTTTTCGTCATTAAAACCAAATTTATCTTCAATGATGTAAGAAGAATTACTCAGTCATCAGCTTAAAACCATAACATATATAATTTACATACAATTCTTTGCAGTGTTTATCACATTTCAAGGAATTGTTTAATATAGCTAGAAAAGAATAGTTTCCGTTTTTATTTGGAAAATACATGTTGAGATATAAAGATGAAGCAGTGTTTTCCATTGAGCATGGTAGATTATATCATAGATTATTTGA